GTGTGTTACCCAGAGAAGCAGGACAGGAAGCCCAGGAGCCCTGGGAAGACCGCAGAACACTGGAACCTTGGGACTGTGGGTCAGGCTTGGTCCACAGCAGAGACTGGTCCAAATGGGTACATCTGGGGGAGGCCAAAGGGAATTGGGGGGGATGCCCCTGCCCTGGCTTGCAGTGTTCTGCAGAAGGCCCTGGCCATGGGCACCATCTAAGCTTGGGGCTATGGCCACAGGGACAACTTCAGCACCCACTGTGGCCACTTCCACCAAAGGCTCCTGAAGGCCAGGCAGCTGGCACTACTGTGTGAGTCTCCAGGTCTGTGTGGGAGCCTCAGGGTCTGTTTAATTCCATAAGTGTTGTGAGCACCTAGCTTCTTGCCAGGGGCCAGCAGTGCCAGGGTGCATTGGGGAATGGAGACCCCCCACCCTGCCTGAGAAGTACCACCCAGGGTCGGTTCTCGAGGTGGCCCGCACGGCTCCTGTCCCCAGTGAGGAGGCCTCCCAGGCCTGCCCCTCTGCAGAGCTGCCCAGTTTAACTGACAAAGGGAGAAGGATCTGTGTCCAGCCAGTGGGACAGCACAGAGTTGCAGTCTCCCCAGAGCTCCCCTCTGCTCCCAGGCAGGCCAGGCCAGGGTGCAGGGGGACCCTTGGCTGCTCTCCTAAAGGTGCCCTGGGAGCTGGCAGACAGTTCCCCAGTCCTGTGTGTCCTCTGCTTCCCAGCTGTCCTCTGCAGGGGGACCTCAGAGGCATGGGGGTTCCAAGGAGATGAGGTCTGGGAACCGAGTTGAGACCCGAGATTGGCCAAGGGAAGACAACTTCACCCATTTTTGACAGCTGCCTCCATCCCAGTGCAGGGGGAGACCCCCAGGCTGGGGTTGATGGATTTGCTGGAGAAAGTCTGGCCTGCTTGACAGAAGGCCGGGCTCCCAGGGCTACCCTACCCTGCCTGTGTCCTGAGGGGGCCCACCCTGCCTCCTCCTCCAGGAAGGCAGAGAGCTCAGACTGCCTGTTGGTGGAGCACACAGATGAGGAGCGTTGAGGAGCTCTATGGGGTGCTGCTGGTCCCACAGAGGCCAAAGAGGCCCTGCATGGCCCCTCTTCTCTATATGGGGTGTGGGGGTCAGGTAAAAGACAGGGGGATCTGGGAAGGGCCCTGCTCTCCCTAAGCCCTCACAGAGTTCTGTCCCCTACCTCAGGCACTGGGGTCCCCAGCCAGGCCTTGCCCCTGGTGGCCTGCACGCTGGAGGGAAGGCCACCCGCTGCTCCCTGCTCCTGCTGGCTCCTCGCGGCCTGCCTGGGTCACACCCAGGAGCCCGGTGAGCACATGTAGGCACATGTGGGCTGCCGCGGGCCGGGCATGTCCTAATTAGCCCACTATCTTGGGAGTCCTTATTGAAAGCAAAACAAACCAAAAAAGTCCTGGTTTTGCCCAGGTTTCTCCCCACTGCCAAGAGTGTCTCACCTGGGTTTCCGGGGCCTTTGGTTCTGGGGGACCTTGGGCTTCTGTGTGGGCCTCGCTGGGTCTCCCTGGCGAGACTTCCCTGTTTCCAAGTTTGCCTGGAGTCAGGAGGGGTCCCAGGCAGAGCCCCGAGTAAGCAGGACCTGCAGGCGGGACGCCAAGAGTCTCTGGGGACACCTGGGGCAGAGAAGGAAGGGCCAGGAGGAGGCCCCTGCAGAAAGCCACCTGCATTTCCTAATTAGTGGGCTCTCTGCTTCCCACTGGGACACAGTAGGCACGGTGGCCAGGCAGGATGAGTGTGCCAGGGTGTCCCTTGGGCCTTGAGAACTGGAGGCATGCTGGAGACTGGATCCACTCGACGTAAGGACAGGCCAGCCCAGTGCTCCTGGGAGTGACCTCTGACCATGAAATGTCATGGAGCCTATGGGCCAGGTCAAAGGAGGCCGGAGTGACGAGTGAGACAGCCTCTGATTCCTCTGCTGAGGCTGTCTGGACTGCAGTGGGCGGCGACGCTGATGGTCCGGGCTTGCTCAGGGCCAGAGGACATTTCCTCACATCTCGAAGCCGAAGCGCTCCCGCGCTGGCGGGCCTCCCGCTGGAAGGGCTCTGGTGCCTCCTGCAAACTGCTCAGGCGGAGATCCTATCAGTCCTCTCCTCTTGGTTCAGTGACTAATTCCCTGGCGCTGTCCTCAGATCATGAAAGAATGTGGGCAAGTTAAAATACGAACCTCGTTGTCATGGGTCTGCACGGGCTCCTGGCCCCGCTGGCCTGGGGTGTCCTGCCATCAGGGATGGAGCAGGGACAGGGCACGGGAGCCCACCCACACCCGCATCTAGACCCGCGGGGAGGCTGGGCTGGGTGCCCCTTGCTCAAGGAGCTCCCACATGCAGGAGGGAGGAAGCCCTCCCTGTAGCTCTCACCTGGCCCAGCACCCTGCCAACAGGGAAGACCCTTCCCAGAACGCCACGCTGGGGTGGAAGAGGCCAGCTCCTGCCTGCACCAGGGTGAGCTGACCTTCGCCCACCAGGTGGAGGTGTGCAGCCATCACCAGCTTGGCTCACCTCCACACCTCCACTCACTCACTCATTCTTCACTCCACCAGCAAACCTGAGAGTGCAGACAGAGGGTGCAATCCTCCAGCACCATCCGGTAGAGACAGCGGCTCTGTACTGGGCGCACACACACTTTCCCCGTCTCTGATCCCTGAAGAGTGCAGCGTAATATCTATTTGCACAGCAATTACGTTGTTAGCATTACTCGTCTAGAGATGGTGGAAAGCGTATAGGGCGGGCACAGGTTCTGAGCAATACTGGCCGCTTGGGTAAGGGGCTTGAGCATGCACAGGTGGCATTTGGTGTCCATGGAGTCCTGGGCCCAGTCCCCACATGGGAAGGATGACCACTAAACATGAGCCATGGGTGCAACTCTGCAGTTACTAGTAGCCACACTCAAAAGGTGGATGCGATTTAATAATTTATTTACCCAAATTAGGATGGTTCAGGGTGTGAATGTGGAAGGGCAGACGAGGCCGCTGCTTTCTGTGGCCCAGGCCTGGGCATCAGGGCGGGCTTGCACCTGCAGCTCAGCACGACTCATCCTGCCATTCCTCAGGCTGTGTCAGAAGGACCTTCTGGACAGCGTGGGTCCTCTTGGCTCCCAGTTCAGTAGGGGACGCTCAAGCAACGCCTTCCAGAGAAGCAGAGTGAGATGGGAGAGGACCCCAGTGGGGGTCTTTCCAGCTGGTGTCGCCTCTGAGCTGAGGAGTGGGGTCAGTCAGCCTCAGTGGTGCTGGCGAGGTGGGCAGGGTCTGTCCCGCAGGGGACGCTGTCTTATCAATAGAGGGTCCCCAAGTCCATGGCCCAAGGCCCACAGGCTGTTTCCATATGGTGGCAGGTTTGGCCAGACCCTGTACCACGACTTTCCCAGGAGAGCCCTGTGTGGCCGCCCCGGTGGACAGGGTGTGGATTTGACCCAATGGTTGGATGGCAGCTGGCCATCCTGGAGCTAGCGTACCCAAGGAAAGCCTCTACCTTGCTCTTGGTGTTGCTGAGAGCCATGACCTGCCCCTGCCCTCCCAGCCCCTCTCTCGTCCTCCTGGACAATCTTCCACTGAGCCCTCAGCTGCCCAGCCTGCCCCTGTGTTCAGGACTCTGGACAAAACCCAGGAGTGGCAGGGCCCTGGGGGCCAAGGGCTCTTGTCACGGACTCACAGGACTTGTGGCCTCTGCGCAGGCTGTGCTGGAGGGACTTTGGCTCATTAAGCCCAGCCCCCCTTGGAAGAAGGTGGGCTGAGGTGCAGGAAGAGCTGAGCAGGCCCCCACCCTCCCCAGCCCTGTTGGGGGACTCACAGGGGGGCACAGGACAGGCCCGCACCCACCCCAGTGTCCAGGAACCTGTTTGTTTTCCAGTTTGGAGGAGGCAGGGTGGTGGGAGGGAGGACTTTGGTGGGTTCCAAGGGCTCTAGGAGGGAGTGTGGAGTAAGAGGTCGCCTGCTGGGTCCCCCTTCACTGTCCCCTGTCCCGTGTTCTCAGGCTCCCTGCCTGGGCCGCTGGATCCCCGGTCACTTCTGCTCTCCAGGCCTCGGGCTCCTGCTCTGTGCCCACAGGGTCTGTGGAGAGGACAGTACTGACGACCCTGGGCCGGGGAAAGAGCCCCGCAGCCACTCCTGCAAGGACCCAGTCTGGCCAGGGGAGCCCTTCAGTGTCACTCTCCCCAACCTGCCTCCTGCGGGAAGCCTCAGGATTTGGAAAGGGCCTCCCTGGGCCGGGCCTCCAGGCGAGGCTCGCTCTGGACCCAGACACTGGGGACTCTGAAGCTGCTGGGGAGGCTGACCCACCCGGGGGTCCCAGGGCCCCACCAGGGTTGCTCAACAGGCGCAGTCCCTGTTCCTGGGAGAGTGGACCTGGGAGGAGCTGGGCTGCCAGGAGGCCCTGGGGGGCTGTCCACCCTGCCTGGAGGCTTCTTGGCCATTCTGATGGAGATGAGGCCACCTACCTGAGGACACCAGTGAAAGTGGTTGTTGGGGACTCTGGGGACACAAGGGAATATTGGGCTCAGCCACTGACATGCAGCCCCCTCCTGGGTGGCTGGATTCAGGGGCCACATCTGGTCCCCCAGAGCCTCGTGGCACCCCTTGCTCCAGAGGGTGCTCCAGTCCTGCCTGCCATGGCCTGGATCACAGGGCTGCCCCTGGGGAGAACAGTGGAGCATCAGGAGTGGGGAGCCCCGCACCCCATCAGCTCCGCTCCAGGCTGCAAAGCCCCGATTCCTCCCGGGCGGCTGGGTGGATCCCCAGAAACCCTGGCACTCGGGGAGGCGATGGAGAGGGGCGGGCAAGGTGAATATGTCAGTTTATCCCAACACAAGTAGTGGCCTGTTGGGGTGGGGTGGGGGCCTGAGGAAATATTTGGGATGACTGGAGCCGGCTGGCCCTTTAAGGCTCCTGTAACAAGACACCTCCCTGATGGGACCGGGGAGGGCTGGGGCTTCCACCCGCAGCCCAGCCGACAGAGTTTCTCCCTCCCTCCTCCCCCTTCCCGCCAGGCCCAGTTCAATTTGCTCAGCAGCACCATGGACCAGATGAGCAGCCGCCCAGCCCCAGCCAGCCCCTACACCCCGGAGCACGCGGCCAGCGTGCCCACCCACTCGCCCTACGCGCAGCCCAGCTCCACCTTTGACACCATGTCCCCGGCGCCCGTCATCCCCTCCAACACCGACTACCCTGGCCCCCACCACTTCGAGGTCACCTTCCAGCAGTCAAGTACAGCCAAGTCAGCCACCTGGACGGTGAGTGGCCCCTGCTCCCAGCAGCCTGGGGATGGGGAGGCCCTCGGGGCACCTCAGGAGGGCTGAGCAGCCGCTGTCCACACGGGGTTCCCACCTGGCCCAAGCCGGGAGGAGCATCGGGCAGGAGGCGGGTCTCTGGGCTGGGCAGTCCATGTGTGCCCACCCCTAGGACGCTGGCCAGAGCCAGCCAGCTTCCCCCAGGGCCCCAGAGGGGTAGGATGTGACCCGTCCAGGAGAGCCAGGGGCAGGGGCAGACTGTTCTCACCAAGGCCAACTGGCCAGCTTGCCTGTGCTCAGGTGGGGACCCTGCTGCGAGGGTCATCCGAGTCCACTGAGGCCACCTCCTCTGGGCATCATGGCCCTCTGCTGGTTGTGGCTGAGGGCTCTGCCCTGTCTTCTCTGGAATGTCATCTCCGAGCACTGGCACGGGACGGGGAGGTTGGGGCAGGAACACGGTGCTGAGGGCTGGGGCCGTGGCCGTGCCCCTGGGGAGAATCTGGCTTGTGCCGACCCCGGGAGCCTCCTCCATTCACCGTGCTGCTAGCTGGCCTGCGCCAAGTGCTCTGAGCTCAGTGACCACAGGATGGAATCCATTCTCATCCCATTTTACAGCCAAGGGAGCCAAGGCACGCGGAGCTGTTCAGATAGCGAGCGAGGCCCTGGGCGAGAGGCCAGTGACACCCGTGCCAGTGTTTCCAGCCACTGGAGCTGGAGGGCAGGGCAGAGCCCAGGTGGCCCCGTCAGGCTCTGCAGGCGGCTGGAGACACTGGTCTGGGGACTGGGCTCCAGCCAGGACCTCCCACCGTTGCTTCTGGTTGTTGCTGGCCATTGGCTCCCCAGCTGCTGGCCCATCACTGAGTGGAGGTTCCACCCCAATCCTGGGGCTCTGACGGGCCGGGCAATTGTGACTCCTGTCCAGGGCCCCCCAGCCCCGTCCAGGCGGTTACTGCAGAGCCCAGCCTCATGCCTGTTTCCCCATCTGTAAGTTATTTCTCCAACCTGACCGTGAGCTCTGATGAGGTGGAATGGACCGAGAGCCGAGCAGGTTCCACCGCTGGTCTCCGTCACCGAGCCACCCCTGTGGTGACAGAGTCCCTCCTGCCTGGGGCCCCTGGATGAGGCTGTGCCTGCCCAAGGTCTCTCTGTTCTCTACTGCCCTAGTGGGAGGGAGGCCAAAAAGGCCCCTTCACCGGGGCTTGGCAGTCCAGCCAGGTGACCTGAAGCCAGGTGAGGACACCCAAGACACCCCACCCGAACACCTCTAGCCCAGGAATCCCACTACCACCTGCTTCTGTGTCCAGCCTCCTTGCCCAGGTCATTCTCTCCCTTCTGGGGGTGGGGGTGCCCATTCTCCTAAGTGACACTGTCATCAGAGTCTGAGTTTCTGGAGAAGGATCCCCTTGAGTCCTGGCTGGGTAGAGGCTCTGTCCCCTTCCTTCCCTTTGTTTGAGGATGCAGTGCCCTGGGGCTCGGAGCATCTCACATGGTCTGAGCTGGTCCTCAGGGAGGAAGAGGAGCTGCCCGCCTGCTGGCTGTCTCCCCCTACATGAGGCTCTGCCACCCCTGCCAGGGCTCAAGGGACATATGGTTTGGTCCTACTGTCCTGCCCTAAGTATCCCCATGGGGTGGTCTGCTGGCCACTGAGGCGGCCCTGGTTGACCAGCCACATGGGTTGGGCAAGGTGCAGCCTCCAAACTGGCCCCCACTTGGTGCCCAGCATCAGAGCCGCGCAGCGCCAGGGTGCTGTGCCTGCGCAGGCCCCTCCTCCTCCCCGGGCAGCTGGTGGAGGTGGGACCAACATTGATAATGAGATTTTTGGCACCTTGGCTCTCTGGGAGCAGACCCCTGAGAGCTTTTTCCCTTGCCCAGGGAGGGGCAGGCAGCCACTGCTGTCAGTTCTTGGAGGTCCAGCTGTGTGGGCGCTGCCCAGACTTGCTGCCCTGGACTCAGCACCACGCGGTGCTCGGCCCCTGCCACGCTGCTGGCTGGTAACTGATAGATAATTCATATTTTTCTCAAGTACAATTCCGCGTTGACTGCTGCCCTCGTTCTTCTCCCAGATCAGCAAAAACACCCTCGCTAGCCCCCAGGTGACCACAGCTGTTAATGTCGTCCTTGGCCTCTATTGTGCTGGAGCTGCCGTGGGCGTCCCCAGCGCTGGGGTCCACTGCTCCATCGGCTTCCCTCAGACCTCGGCTCTGCTACCGCACCCAGGGGTCTGGAGCCCTCAGCTCACGGGCTTGCACGTCTGTGCCCATGTGCATGCATGTGCACACACAGACGCGGGCACCCCCACATGCTGGCCACACTGAGGCACACGGGTACTCGGGAGCACACACGTGTGCATACATCCATGGCACGCACAGGCAGGCCTCAGGTTGCCGTCCAGGGTCCGACGACCCCTTGCCCCACACCAGCAGGCAGGTCGAGCCGCTGGAGAAGGCTTAATGTTTGGCTACAAGGCTGTGGCCAGTGACAGGGACCAGTGACAGGCGAGGACAGCTTGGCTGGCAATCTCTGTAAGTGGGATAGGTAGACCTGGGACCCCTGCTGGTGTGCAGGTCCCCTCCCAGGTCTGCTGGTAACCTACTGCTGTGTCACCTCCCTGTCCCCCGTCCTCTGGCACAGGAAGAACAGATCGGCTGGCTCTCGGGGCTTCTCAGAACAGGGCCTGGCGTCAGGGAGCACCCTGCAAGGTCTGCTGTTCTAGCCGCCCTGGCCTGTTCCATCTCAGGACCCTCTGGGATCTGGGGAGAGAGACACTGGGAAAGGCCACAGTTGTGAGCCAGTGGGCACTGATGCTCAGTGGACAGTTGTACTGGGGGCTGGGCCAATGATGAGGGTAGCAGTCGCTCTTGCCCATTTTGTGACCTTCCTGGGACATGGGCAGTGTTTGGCCCTGTGGACACTCCTGTTCTAGGAACTACCCCTATTAGCTGGCAGTGTTGTGGACAGCTGGCCCCAGGGGTCTCCTGGCAGAGGAGGAGCAGGTGTGATCTCCTCTACCCACTAGAGAAGCCCGACACAAGGGTCCCTGAATGCCACCCAGCTCAGCCCCTTCCTTTATGCCAGGGGACGCAGACAAGCTTGGTATTTGGGAGGGTTAGAGATGGGCTCTGTGGTCAGTCAAGAAGGCCCATGTGGGTGGAAGCCCTGGTCCCACAAGGCATCTGTGGGCACCGGGAGGCCAGGCTTCATGGAATAGCTGACTGAGTGCTCAGAGGCAGCTGTGGGAGGCTGGTGGTGAGGGCATGCACAGGAAGGAGGCCACAGGTGGGAGCCCTCGGAGGGACATGGCCTGGACATGGCCCTGTGTAACCCCAGCTGCCCTCAGATTCAGTGCGTGTGTGCGTGTGTGTGTGTGTGTGTGTGTGTGTGTGTGTGGTCGGGGGGGGGGGCAGTGGATCCATGTGGCGTGAGGGCCCCCGACCTGGGGGAGCTGTGGAGGGCGGGCGGGAAGCGCAGAGCCCTAGGAGGGATTTCTGGGGAGGACAAGGCTGAGTCAACACTAATGGATTTGGAGAAAACTTTCCAGCCCCTCGGAGGTTTGCAAGCCAGAGAAGAATAGCAGAGGTGTCCCAACACGATTGTGGTATCAATTGCGTTATCCTAAAAGTTTATGGAATGCATAAGTGGAATTAATACTTTTACTGGCACCAGGAGCAATTATGTGTATTTAAAGCCAAGGGAAGAGTTCTAAGAGTGTTTATTGTGGAGATGAAATGTGGATTATTAGGGGAAACGAGAACACTTAGGAGAGATCGCAGTGATTGCTCCTATTGTACAGCAGGGCTCTGCCCAGGGAGCACCCAGCAGTCGGCTCTGGCCAGGGTCAGTGCCCGGTCTCCTGGCTAGAGGTGGCTCATCTATTCTCTCTCTGTCCTCTTGACAGCCAGAGGAGCCCTGGCCCTGGTCACAGAACTTGGTCTGAAGGCCATGAGAGAGGCTGGAAAAGTCAGGCTCGGAGGCCCTGGACTGGCTGCAGCCCAGACACCAGCAGGCTGGTCCTGGGAGCTGAGAGCAATCCCCAGCCAGAGGGGCCCCACCTCGCACCATTGGGCTCTTGTAGGGCCCCTGGGAAGACAGGCTCCTGCCCCATGGGCTCAGGATGTGGAGAAACAGGACCAATTATTTGTTAGGAGTAATGGTCCATTTTCAAAGACTTGTTTCCAAAGCGGTGGTCGCTGCATGGACCCGAGTCCTGACTCATGGTGCTGACCACACCACTGCAGGGCCCCTGTGTACTGGTCCCACAGCTGCAGGAGGTAGGCGCTTCTCTCTCACTTCACAAAGGAAGAACTCGGCCTCCCAGAGGTCAGGTCAGGGCAGGTCACCTTGACCCCAGCAGCCCAACCCTGAGAGCCTGTTCATGGGCTTCATGGACTGCCCACCTCACTGGGCACACCCCAACCAGGGTCCTGTCCCGCAGTCTCACCATGGCTCCAACTCCATGGGGGTGAGTCTGGGATGTGTCAGACCTCTGTGACCAAGGGTACAGAGGTGCTGACCCTCAGAGGTCTGCCTGCTTGGCCCTGGGGGAGCACAGACCTTGCCCCATGAGCTCCTGTTACTGTGGACGTAGAGCCTACCCGAAGCCCAAGGAACCAAGTTTTAAATCAGCAAATGGAAGGTCCTCTAGAATCTTTATCACTGGGATGCTCTGGGGCTGACCAGACTCCAAGGTGAGGAGTCAGGCCAGCCGGGCCTGCGGACAGTCCCTCCTTACCACTCCTGGTGCTGTCCTGTGGGCCTGGCCCCGCCCACCTCACCCCAATTCCACCAGCCTGTTTTACAGGTGGGGAGGGCCCACCACAGGGTTCTCCTGGACCTGGTGCTAAAGCTGGATGGGGCCTGGCTGGCCCGGGCCTGGACGTGGAGGCCGTGCTGAGCAGGAGCTGGCGTCTCTCTCCCAGTCTGCTGCATTCCTGCCCCTTCTGGGCCAGGGAGGGCTTTGGGATTTCCTCAGGTCCCACTGGTGGCTAAGTTCAAGTGTGTGGATG